AGGTGGGGTTTAGGGCCGGTGTAGGTACAGAAGAGGGATTGTTCCACGTAACCTACAAAGAGGCAGGCGTAGCTTGGGCCCATGCGGGTACCCATGGCCACCCCCTTTGTCTGTAGGAAGTGGGAGAAATTGAAAGAGAAGTTGTTGAGGGTGAAGACGAGTTCGGCTAAGCGGATGAGGGTGTCAGTGGAGGGGGACTGGTCGGGCCTGCGGGACAGGAAGAAGCGGAGGGCCTTTAGGCCATCTGCATGGGGAATGTAGGTGTAGAGGGACTGGACGTCCATGGTAAAGGTGAGGTGTTGGGGACCGGTGAATTGGAAGTTCTGGAGGAGGTGGAGGGCGTGGGTGGTGTCACGGACATAGGTCGGGAGTTCCTGGACCAAGGGGGAGAAAATGGAGTCCGGATAGTTGGAGATCAGTTTGGTGGGGCAGGAGCAGGCGGAGACAATGGGTCGATCAGGACATTCAGGTTTGTGGATTTTGGGAAGGAGATAGAAGCGGGCAGTGCGAGGTTGGGGAACGATGAGATTGGAGGCCGTGGGTGGGAGGTCACCTGAGGTGATGAGGTTGTGGATGGTTTGGGAGATGATGGTTTGGTGGTCGGGGGTGGGGTCATGATCAAGGGGGCGGGAGGAGGTGGTGTCGGAGAGTTGGCGTCTGGCCTCGGCGATGTAGATGTCAGTGCGCCATACTACAACTGCGCCTCCCTTGTCCGTGGGTTTTTTGGTGAGGTTGGGATTGGAGCGGAGGGCTGCACGTTCTGCGGGGGAGAGGTTGGAGTGGGTGAGAGGGGTGGAGAGGTTGAGGCGATTGATGTCTCGACGGCAGTTGGAGATGAAGAGGTCGAGGGATGGTAGGAGGCCTTGGGGTGGTGTCCAGGAGGAGGGGTGTGTTGGAAGCGGGAGAAGGGGTCAGTCGAGGGAGGGTTAGGTTCACGGTTGAAGAAGTAAGCGTGGAGGCGGAGGCGGCGGAAAAACTGCTCTATGTCCAAGCGTGAGCGGTATTTGTTGATCTGTAGGTGGAGGGGGACAAAGGTGAGCCTTTTACTGAGGACTGACTGTTCGTCCTCAGTAAGGGGGAGGTCTGGAGGGATGGTGAAGTCTCAGCAGGGCTGGGTGCTATTGTCCCCTCTGGAGCTGCTGGCTGTGGAGGCTGTGGGTGGAGCGACGTCGGCGTCGGCGGTGGGTGGAGCAGGGTAGGCGGCGGCAGTAGCGGTGACGGTAGTCGCGACTTCAGTGTCGGTGGCAACGGCAGCGATGGTGTTCGCTGTCCCGGAAGTGGGGAACCCGGCGGTGGCGGATGTGACATCATCTGTGGGTTCCCCGATAGTGGCCTCTACATCGTGGAAACCAAGCGGAGGCTCGGGGACCGCTTTGCAGAACACCTACGCTCGGTTCGCAATAAACAACTGCACCTCCCAGTCGCGAACCATTTCAACTCCCCCTCCCATTCCTCAGACGACATGTCCATCCTGGGCCTCCTGCAGTGCCACAACGATGCCACCCGAAGGTTGCAGGAACAGCAACTCATATTCCGCTTGGGAACCCTGCAGCTCAATGGTATCAATGTGGATTTCACAAGCTTCAAAATCTCCCCTCCCCCTACCGCATCCCAAAACCAGTCCAGCTCGTCCCCGCCTCCCTAACCTGTCCTTCCTCCCACCTATCCCCTCCTCCCACCTCAAGCCGCACCCCCATCTCCTACCGACTAACCTCATCCCGCCCCCTTGACCTGTCCGTCCTCCCTGGACTGACCTATCCCCTCCCTAACTCCCCACCTACACTCACCTTTACTGGCCCCATCCCCGCCTCTTCGACCTGTTTGTTTCCTCTCCACCTATCCTCTCCTCTATCCATCTTCTATCCGCCTCCCACTCTCTCCCTATTTATTTCAGAACCTCCTTCCCCTCCCCCTTTTCTGATGAAGGGTCTAGGCCCGAAACGTCAGCCTTTCTGCTCCTATGATGCTGCTTGGCCTGCTGTGTTCATCCAGCCCTGCACTTTGTTAACAGATCACATGTCTTTCTTCATTACTGTAAATTACTTTGTACTACTTTAAAGAGAGCCTTGAAATGATAACCTTCTTAAAATCTTACAATCATAACACACAATTCGAAGCCTTAGCTAGAATTTGCTGTGTTTTGTAGCAATTGCAATTCCGTGATTTGCATTTTTGGTATTATTGTAATTGGTGTAGTTGCTGGATTTTGGAAGTGGCGATATTCAGTGGATATCTGTTTGGTAAAAGTTATTATGTAGATGACTTGCCTACCTGGCTATTTGTAAAATGCCCTTGTGAAAATTATTGAGCCAGATTTTGTGGTCAGCGGTAATGAGACATTAGCATACAGCTGCCCATACATTTTTCATGGGCTCTTTAATGGGGACCTTTTCAAATCTAGAGTCTGATTCAGCCGATGCCTCATTTGGCTAATTCTTTGAAAGAAGGGACTTTCTTATGAGGAAAGATTGAGTTAGTTGGATCTGTACTCTCGGGTTTTTAGAAAAATCCGTGGTGAACTTATTGAAACAATATCTGGTTCTGATCGGACTCGACAGGGTAGATGCTAATATGACATTTCCTATTGTAAGGAAATTTAGAATGAGGGGCACAGTTTAAAAATAAGGAATCTCGCATTTAAGTCTGAGATGTGTAAGAATTTCTTCCCTGAGGTTTGTTGATGTCTGAAGTTCTCTTCCACAGTGAGCAGTGGAGCCTGGATCATATAATGTTTTCAAGGTTGAGTTGGACACAAGTCAAAGATTATGGAGTGCAACAGAAAAATGAATCTAAGAAAGCAAAATAAAGATTGGACATGAAATTAGAATTAAAAGGGAAAGTTGTGATAGGAAGAGTTAAATTAATATATTTTGTATTAAAAAATTCTTCACTAATAGCTTATGAGTGAATGAGTTCCTACACTTGTAAATTTAACCTTTCTGGGCAAAGAAGTTGTTTAACAATAATAATCGTTTACCACACTTAAAGAAAGTACTATAATTATAATTATTTTGTACTTGACTGCAGGAGGTTTAACCTATGGTGCTTTTAGCGGGTGCAAGTACCTCAACATCATACAGTTGAATGTACTTTGATGCTGATGTATTGTAATAGTATAGCTTTTGGAGGAATATGGCATTTGGACAGCAAAATCTGGATTTTCACATTTGACCATGCAAGTGTGTGTTTCAGAGATTATAATTTGATTTCCTCCATAATGGAGAGAGCTGTTTGTTTCGCAGTTATTATAAATGTAAAATCTTAGACTTTTATCTTATAAAATGTTGTCAGGTCGTTAAATTGATTTATTGCTTTGCCTTTTTTAACTTGCTAACAGGTTGCTTTTAAAATGTACCTGGGTATAACTCCCAGTGTGACCAACTGGAGTCCAGCAGGGGATGAATTTTCATTAATTCTGGAAAATAATCCACTTGTTGACTTTGTGGAATTGCCTGATAATCATTCCGGTTTGATCTACTCTAATCTTCTCTGCGGAGTTCTGAGAGGTGCATTGGAAATGGTGAGGATTGTGGTATATTCTGCACCTACAGTTTAACACTTAATGCTCATCTCGTTAAATCTGCATTCCATTTCAGTTTATTTAGGCAGTAGAACTATGCTTGATCTTTAGCTTGATGCATGCATTAATGAAAGAAAGAAAGAGTTACGTTGATAATGTCTTAAAACATTTCACAGTTAATGATCACACTTCAGAATTTGATGTTGTAAAGCAGAGAAAAGTATGTGGTAATTAACACACATGATGTTAAAAACAACAGCAAGTATATAAGGACCAGATAATTTATTTTCATTATTTTGAGGTGGTGGTCAATATTTGTGTACAGGATATTGGAGAAAATGGGGCCTTCATTTAACATCTAAATTGAAGGAAGCACTGCCAACAAACAACACCTCTTTAGTACTGCAATGTAGCATTAAATTAGGTTATATACAAAGGTCTCTGGAGTGCTCTTGAAGCCCCCCCCTTCTAGCTGTGAGATGAATACTGCCACTGAGACAAGATCAAGAGCTTAAATGAAGTTCAGGTGCGTCATAGAGTCATACAGCACGGAAACAAACCCTTCGGTTCAACTTGTCCATGCTTCCCCAAACTAAACTAGTCCCATGTGTTTAGCCCATATTTGTCTAAACCTTTCCTATTCATGTCCTGTCCAAATGTTGTTTATGTGTTATAACTGTAGTTGCATCTACCACTCCCTCTGGTAGTTCATTCCACATGCGAACCACCCTCTGTGTGAAGAAATTGCCCCTGAGGTCCCTTTTAAATCATTCTCCTGTCACCTTAAAAATATGCCACCTGGTTTTGAACTCACCCACCCTAGGGAAAAGACATTTGCTGTTCACTTTATCTATCCCACTCATAATTCTATAAACCTCTAATGTCACCTTCTTAACTGTCAACTATACCACCAATTTTGGTGTCATCTACAAACTTACTAATTATGCCTCCTAAATTCTCATCCAAATCGTTTATATAAATGACAAACAACAGTGGACCCAGCACCAATCCCTGTAGAACACTGCTGGTCACTGGCCTCCAGTCCGAAAAATGACTCTCCACCACCACCTTCTGTCTCCTACTGTCAAGCCAATTTTGTAAGCAAATGGCAAGATCTCCCTGAATCCATGTTATTAAACTTTACTAATCAGCCTACCATGTGGAACCTTGTCAAAGGCTTTACTAAAGTCCATGTAGAGAACATTTATCTCGCTGCTGTCATTAATCTTTTTGGTTATGTCCACAAAAAATCCTGTCATGTTTGTGAGACACAAAGGCTCAGCGGTTAGCACTGCTGCCTCACAGCGCCAGGGACCTAGGTTCAATTCCAGCCTCAGGTGACTGTGTGGAGTTTGCACATTCTCCCCGTGTCTGTGAGTGTCTCCTGCAGGTGTTCCAGTTTCCTCCCATAGGCCAAAGATGTGCAGGTGGATTGGCCATGCTAAATTGCCCCATAGTGTCCAGGGATGTGCAGGCTAGTTGGATTAGCCATGGGAAATGCTGGGTTACAGTGATAGGGCAGGGGTGTGGCTCTGTTCTTTGGGGGGTTAGTGTAGACTCAATGGGCTGAATGGCCTGCTTCCACATTGTAGGGATTCTACAATTTCCCGTGTACAAAGCTATGCTGACTATCCCTAATCGGTTCTTGCCTGTCCTTAAAATTGTTATCCTTCTAATTAACTTGATTTTAACACTTCCTGATACTTGCTGTTTTGTCATGCTCTGGGGAGGTGTTGCCATTGTGTTAATGTCAGTGGATTAGTAAACAACTTAGTTCACTGAAGGAAATTTGCAGTCTTTATTGGTCTGGCCTACATGTGACACAGACCCATGTAATGTGGTTGATTCAACTGCCCTCTGAAATTGCCTAGAGAGCCGAAAGTTCAGGGGCAACCAGGAATGAGCATAAAGTGCTGGCCTTGCTTGGATATTTTCCCCATTGGTAGCCGTAACTGCAGCCAACTCAGCTGTTAGCTTTTGTAATACCTCTTGAATCCTTTCCAACTTGCAAAACCATCCTTCAGTCCTCAATTCTCTGAACAAGGGTTTGACCATCTGCTGTAATCTTTGGTTTGGTATTCTATTTTGTCTAATTTGGTTTGCCTAAATGCCTTGGGAATTTCTTCTAGAGGCACTACCTTGTGACAAGTTGTCGATCTTTTCAATAAAGTAAATTTGGCATGCATTTATTTAGTTTGGCCCATAATGGAGCATATCTGAAGAAGGGTCACTGGACCTGAAACGTTCATAGGATCATACAGCATAGAAGCAGGCCTTTTGGCTCACCATGTCTATACCGACCAGAAAACACCAAATTACACCAATCCTACTTATGTGCACTTGGTCCATAGTGCCTCCTGTTAAGAGAACCTGCGTCCACCACCCTCTCAGGCAGCATGTTCCATATTTCTATCACCCTCATAGTGAAAAAGTTTTTTCTCCAATCTCTTCTAAACTACTTACTCCTCACCTTAAACTTATACCTTTTGTTCTTAGACACATCTACCATGGGGAAAAGATTCCCACAACCTACCCTTCTCTGTCCTCGTAATTTTTGTATTCTTCAATCAGATCCCGTGCTCCAAAGAAAACAGATCCAGCCTATCCAGTCTCTCCTCGTAACTGAGACTTTTCATCCCAGGGAACTATCCTGGTGAATCTCCTGTGCAGTCTAGCCAGTGTAGTCACTGGATAATAGACGTATAGAGTAATATGGCGATCAGAACTGTGCACAGTATTCCATCTCTGGCCTAATCAATGTTTTATAAAGTTGTAGCAAGACTTCCTTACTCCTATATTCTGTGCCGTGGCTAGTGAATATGCTGTCTTTACCACCCTGTCTACCTGTGCTGACGCCTTCAAGAATCTATAGGCTTGTAAAGAAAAGTCCCTTTGTTGCTCAGTACTCCCTTGGCACCTACCATTCATCATGTATGTCCTTATCTTATTGAACCTTCTACAATGCGTCACCTCACACTTAGCAGGATTAAGTTCCATTTGCCATTGCTCTGTCCAGTTTACCAGCTGATCAATGTCAGATTGTAGCCCGAGACCATCCTCCTAACTATTCACACCACCACCAATTTTTGTCATCTGCAGAATTACATAATTATACATTCTACATTCAAGTCTAACAAACAGCAAGGGTTCCAGCACCTATCCCTGTAGTACACTTCTAGTCGGAGGCTTCCAATCTCAAAAATACCAATCCACCATCACCCCTTTGTCTCCTAATTTCAAGCCAGTTTTCCGATCTAGTTTGCCAACTTGCCTTGAATTCCATGTGCTCTTACCTTTGGACCTTCTTACTTAGTCAAAGGCCTTACTGAAGTCCATGAAAATCGCATCAACAGCACTGCTTTCATCAATCTATTTAGTCACTTTCTGAAAGAAACTAAGTTAGTCAGACGGATCTGCCTCTAACAAATTTGTGCTATCCCATTTTGCTTTCTCTCCACAGATGCTGCCAGACACGCCGAGTTTTTCCAGCAATTTTTGTTTTCTTTTCAGATTTCCACATCCTTAGATTTTATTTTGAGCACACTTGTTTCTCGAATGCCCAATACATTTCCACTTTCATTAAACCCTACAAACTAGGATGTGAGGTTAAAATGCAAGTTATTTCCTCCTTGCTAGTTATTGTGATATCAATTAACTTTGAATCAGAACTATCTTAAAGTTTCTCATTTCTTAAAATAAATATCTTGCCTACTTAAATAGTTATTCCAATAAATTGTTAGGTCCCTGTATGAAAGCAATTTATGCAGCTGGTCGTTCACATTTGTGTGATGTATAACATAAATTGAATATCCACAAATTGGTTTCAGAACAGTCTGTTCACTTTTCAATAACAAATATCTTAAATTATCACAAAATCAGGATGAGTCTTTTTAAGACATATATGTGTATTTAAAAGCACAGCTAAATCTTGGATGAAAACCTGATCGTGTATTTCATGTTGTAATGCTCAAAATATGAAATGTCTTGAAGTTAATTGACCATGAGTTGAAAGGAAACAAACAATTCTGACTCTCCGTCAAGAACACTAGTGGAATCAACAGTACTGATTATTCTTTGCTCAACCGTTTCTTTTATTGCAGGTTCAAATGGCAATTGATGTGAAATTTGTCCAGGACACACTCAAGGGTGACAATGTAACAGAAATCAGACTGAAATTCATTAAAAGAATTGAAGAAAATCTTCCAGCTGGAGAAGAATAACATGTCAAAGCATTGTATGATCCTGGACAGTAAGAAGATATTCTGTCATCACTGTAGATTGTTGCGTGTGAGTTTATATTATTGGCAAAAGTTTGACATTAAGACCATGACTGGAAAACCATTTATTAGCCATGGATTTAACCTGGAGAGACTCCAAAAGTGAATACAGCTGTGAATTCCTGTGTTCATGCTCTGCCACCTTCTTCCAGATCATATCAAATATTGGTGTTTTTCATTATTGTTCTATAATCCGTATATCTGTAGATTATAAATCTCTGGGGTCTTCAAAAAATTGTCATCTTTACCTCTTCTTTTGACACAAAGCCTATATGTTACTTCTTAAGAATGCAATGTTAATGTTTACAAGGTCACCACTGCTCTGTTCTTCCCCAACCTGTACTCTATTGTGGTCAAAGCATTTTGTTCAGAATGATTGAAGAACTGTCTCATTAACATGCACCATTGTTTCTGGCTGATGACATCATGGATTTGTGGAATTTTGTGTTGGTAGTAATGTGGAGCTGCATGGGGTTTGAAGGAAAACTGCTTTAAAATGATAAACAATGGTAAATGTTGGAACAACATTCAGATGCTGACTGATCTGCTAAAGAGGTAAGACCCTTAACACGTGTTTTGGGTGAAGCTTGGTGGTGCTTTGTCTTTCAGTGTTTTAATTATTTATTGCATTTGCATTTTTTCTTCTTTAACACAATGTTTGTGCTTAATGAGGGTGCTATTCATTCTGCATCATGTTGATCCGATTCTACTTATACATTGCTTCACTAGGAATTTAATTTGGTATGGACTTTACTCCAGCACGAAGCTATTCCTTCAAGTCTTTGTGGTTGTACACTCCAGAGATGATCCAGCTAAAATAGAAACAAAGTTCTGAATTTCTTCCATAATAAAGTTCCAAAGTAAGAACAATGGAAATTCCACCACACATACTACTGTTAACAGACAATATAGCTGCCTGAAAAATGATTCTAATAAGTTGGTTTCATCTTGTTTGAGGTGTGACAATGGCAAAAAGGTGTACTTTTTTGTAAAGCTGCAGCACTGAAAGCATTTTTGTGAATTCATCCAATTGATACAACTTAGTGGCTCCATTCAACTTGTCAGGGCAAATGCTGCAGCCCATAAAGTTTAATTGTTTTGTGCTTGCCATTGTCAATGTTCTAGTATATACAGGAAATTTTTCAACAGAAAACTAAGTATGCTTTGGGCATTCAGATTTTAACATCTCACCTATCTAGAATCTCAGATTTGTTTGTATTTTATATCATTAGAGTCCCAAAAAATGATGCAATAAGATGCTGAGGCTTTATTTAGTCCAATGATAACTTATTTGTATCAATTTTGTTATTTAAAATGTTTTTGGTTTGGTACCTGATGTAACTTTCAGGCCAAATTTGAACATGGTACTGATTCTAATATATGTTGTTTCTAACTCTGAATTCCATTATCTGACATTTAATCTTTTCATGATTTGGAAAATATGCATGTTCGCTTATCTGTGAGCAATGGTAAGTCTGATAATGGTAATGAAGGATGAATGGAAAACTAGGTAACATTTTTAAAAAGACACCCCTTCAAGCTTTTCAAGAGAAGATGTAACTCAAATTTGTTTCCAGTTCCAAGGAAAAGATTTAGGTGCCCCATATCGTTTTTTTTTCAATAGCAATTGGCTATCTAATTTTTACCTAAAGGGAGAAGAACAAAAACTAATTGAAATGATTTCTTTCAGCACAATATACAAATGTGCTGCTTTCACTTAATGTTATGCTGCCTTGCTGCTAAGAAGTTTCCAGATTTGTGGACGAAATGAGGGACAGACCTGGTAACAAACTGAAATAAGCGGGTGTTTCAGCTTATATGCAGCTTGGAGAATTTTCTAAATGCTTATGCACTTGCAAAGTTTATTCAAACTGTATCTCAAAATTTACTGTGATTACCATTTTCCATCTGAACACTGATATTGAGCACTAAATTTGGTTAGCAGCCTGCTTTTATGTATTTTTGTCTGTTTATTTTAGGTTCTGTTTGTTCTAAAGTTACTTAGAAGTTAGGCCAGTTTGCCTTTGAGATATAAAAAGAAAACTGGTGACTATAATTCTGCATATGTAGAGATTTGAATTCCACTCCTGCCCTAACCCATCGTGACCTAATTCCAAAACAGAACCCTAAGTCAAATCAAAAGTAGTAAATGGGTAGCATTGCATTATACAGGAGATGTAACATTTAAAATGTGAATTTCATAGCTAATAAATAAAGCTGTATTGTTTATAATATTTAATGTATAGACTTTATTGAAAACTGTATTTCAAACTCATTTAAAACAACCTAATAATATATAACATGAAGCAGGAAGAAGATTGTTTTTATTCTTTTACTGGAATTGGGTGTTGCTAGCTTGGCCAGCATGTGTTACCCATCCCAAAATGCCCTTGAGAACGTGATGAGCTGCTGGATTGGACGTTGCCATCTGTAGTGTTTGTAACGAGGTCAGCCATTGGATTTATCATATGAGTTCCCTGACTAGGGGCTGTTTTTTCTGGTCTAATCAGGGAGCCCTGGCTGACAGGTATGAACAGGAGTGTTAGAATTTCCGTTCGCTGAGAGAGCTGCGTCTGAGGAAGCTGGACCCGGGTCAAGTACTATGCACATGTAAATAAAAAGGGACTTAGTGACGGGATACTGACCTCTGGAGTTATTTCACTGTCCATGGGGTGTAAGTACACCATAGTACTATTAGGATGGCAGTTTCAGGATTTTGACCCAACAAGAGTGAGAAAAAAGCAATATAATTCAAATCAGGATCGTGTAAGACTTGGAAGAGAACAGGTTGCTTCCTTGTCCTCCTAGGTGGTAAATGTTTAAAGTTTGGATGGTGCTATTGAAGGAACCCTGGTGAGTTCTTGAGGTGCTTCTTGGAGATTATTCCCACTGCACAATGTGCACCAAGCTGGTGGAGAGAGTGGATGGGGTGCCAGTCAGTGTGACAGATGGGCCATAAATCTAATTCCTTTTTAATGAAAAAATTCACAGATGTTGATAAAACAAATTAAATTATATTGAAATATACAAAAAAAAGGCATGAGTCAAGATTTTTGTCATCAAAATAAGCACTTTTCAATTTAAGTCTTTGAAGGATATTTTTTGTCACTGAGATTTAAAACTATAAAGTTAGACATGGGAGAAAAGCTTCATTTGCCAACCCCCTTTTTATAGGTTATATACCAATTGCTTTGCACTTCATTTCATCTTCTAACGGGCAAGAACATGAGTACTTTTATAAGATGAGGGTGAAATTTTAATAAAATGTGTATGTTATTAGATGTAATTGGCCAAGTTGATGGGGAACTGCAATCAATAAATTAATTGATAAGCCACCTGAGCAAATGAACAAATAAAAGAGTATTGTTAAGAGTGTACAGGCCTGTGGTCAAATTATAGTCATGTCTTGTAATTGTATACACAGGACTATTCATGCTGTTGAAGTGATATCTTTAATTCTTCAATAACTAAATAATAGTTCACTTTGTGTGGTTGGTTCCAAATTAATAGTTTATTCTTCATGTACTGACCCAGAAACTAAGCTGTTCAATGCAAATACAAACCTCTTGTGTGAATTGTTCAACTCTATATTTTTGACAGCTCATTTTGAATTAAACTAATGACTAAATTAATTGGGTTCTAGTCATTTTTTAAGGTATAGTCTTCTTTTAAGGAACATGTTTTGAGAATTCAGAGATGCATAAGGTAGATAACTTCAGTTAGAAAGGAGAAATAAATTTGATTTATATCCTTTAATGTAACAGTAACAATTTTAGCTAGCTTCATAGTTAACATAAAATAAACTTCCTTTAATATTACCACTGATACTATTAGCTGGTTTGTAAAATTTCAATACATTAGCCATTTAAACCTAGTCCAAGTAATGTAGTACAATTCTGTTGCCTCTGAGACAAAGATCATATGAAAGCTTAGCATATAACATTTTTTAGTCATTCAGGGGATGTTGGCTTCACTAACTGGACCAGCATTAATTTTCCATCCTGAGTTACCTTCTAAAACAGCTGCAGTCTATTTGGTGTAGGTGCACCTCGAATATGCTTAAGGAGGGAATTTCAGAATTTTGACTTGGCAACATTGAAGGAACAGCAATATATTGATGTGGTTTGGGTCACCCAATATAGCACACCATCAGTGTGGTTAGGGAGGGAGTTGCATGATTTTGGCCCAGTGACACTGAAGGAGCAGTGATATATTTCCAACTCAGGTTGTGGGTGACTTGAACGAGAACTGGCAAGTGGTGGCATTTCTATGTATCTCCTTTTAGATTATAGCGGTTGTAGGTTTGAAAGGTGCTGTTGAAGGAGTCTGGGTGAATTTCTGCAGTGCATCTTGTGGATGGTACACACTGCTGCTGAGCATTGGTGTTAAGATTTTAGAGTGTCGTTGGAGATGTACTTGTCCAGATTGGTGGAGAGTATTTCATCACATTGCACATTTGTGCCTGATAGATGGCGGACTGGCAGTGGGAGTCAGGCGGTGAGTTACTTGCCACAGAATTCCTACCCTTTGACGTGCTGATGTAACCACAGTATTTAAACAGTGAGTCCAGTTCAGTATGTGATTGGTAGTAGGCCCAGAATGTTGATGCTCCAACTAGCTTATTTTCTTTCTAATTCCTGTTGCCTCTAGTTTTGCGAGGACTCGTTAATGCCACACTGTGTCGTACGCGGCCTTGATGTCAAAGACAACTATTCCACTTCAAATCTGAAGTTTTAACTTTTTTGTCTATGTATGAACTAAGGCTGTAAAGACGTTAGGAGCTGAGTAGTCCTGGCGAAACCTGAACTTAGTATCAATGAGCATGTTATTGCTCAGCAGGTGGTTGATAGCACCTCTGACCCCTTCTGATTCATTACAAATAACTTCTTGAAATCTAAGTACAATATATCCACTGGTTTCACTTTATCTCCAGCATAAGTTACTTCAAAGAATTCCTATAAACTACTTAAACATGATTTCCCTTTGACAAAATGGTGTTGGCTCTGGCTGATCATCCTGAACGCACTCCAAGTACCTTGTTATAATGTATTTCATAAGAGCTTCTAACATTTTCCCAGCCCCACACTTCCAAACTTACGTGGTACAGATATTTTGGCGATTTGTGAAGCTTCAGAAGATCATCAGATAGGGAACAGCAAGACCATGGAGGGCTTTGAAGCACTGATGAGATTTTTAAAATTTAAGATGTTGCTTAACTGGGAGTTGTGACAAGTAAACAGGATGTGGTTTGAGTTAAGACAAGGGAGCAGAATTTTGGATATCCTCAAGTTTACAGACCACAAAGCATGCTACACCAATCAGAAATGCATTTGTATGAAGGAGGGTTTCAGCAGCAGATGAGCAGGATGGAGTTGGAATATGCAATGTGGGTGGGATTGGGCAGTATCAGTGGAAGTACATCTCTTGGTCAGATTGATTGTAAACAGACTGATTGTTGCAGCAAAAGGGATGAATTCAATAGATAGGGAATAATTTGGAGTGAAGGAAAAATTGCTTCAGACTTTTCCAATATGAAATTGGAGGAAATTTCTGCTCATCAACTAATGGATGGTGCATAAGCAGACTGATAATTGTCCTCACTCGAGGAGTGAAAGAAAAACTGAGGTAGAGTTGAATGTCACCAGGATATGTTTGACAATCGGTGCTACTTTTTGATGATGTTATTAGGAGGGAAATGTATAAGTAAGAAATAGGAGTGGGTATGTCTTTATAAAGCACCAGAGGTATTGATAGGGGAGTGGGAAGAGAAGCCATTGCAAGTGATATGATTATGATCAAATAAATAGGAATGGAACTAGGAGAGAGTTGTTGCATGCAGCTGGATGCTGGTGGAAAGGTATGAGAGGATAGTGATGTTGTACATGCCAAAGGATGCGGAGGAATGACTTGGTCACAGTTATATTGTTTATTCAAATGAAACTCTAACAAACTAGAAATTGCATTAATGGAAGATAGTTTTGTGTGATTTTATTTTCCTGTACAATATCAAAGCCATTCATTACAGTACAAAATGGAAATATGTTTAAAAGATATTTTCATAAATAATTATTCTTCATGGAATCCCATGTAATATGTACTCTGAAAATGTATTTATATGAAGTTGACCTTTGTTCCACTCAGCGATAAATAAGAAACTTCTAAAATTGTTTAAAGGGCAAACTACCTCCACCACTAGATGGTAGCATTGTACTGATTGAAAATATATACAGTATTAACAAATTTGCTTCCTGTTCTGTCAACTGTCAGGATAACTTAGAATAGTACAGAAGTATTACAGGTTCAAAGTGATACTTAGTTCACAATGTGGAATAAATGATAAGTATTTGATTCAAAGACCAATGTAATTTATTATATTAAAAGAGTGAGTTTTACCAGAATTAGATCAGAATGAGGGACTAGTTAATGTGGTGATAATAGAAAAAGCTGATAACTTTCCTTGGACTGGAGACTAAGGAGAGATTTGATATCAGCTTTGAAAATTGTGAAGAGTTTTGACAGATTAGGTAAAGGAAACCTTTCCACCCATAGCAGAGTTAGAGTCATAAGATGTACAGCACAGAAACAGACCCTTCGGTCCAACTCGTCCATGCTGACCAGATAACCTAAATAAATCTAGTCCTATTTACCAGTGTTTGGCCCATGTCCCTCTTAAACCCTTCCTATTCATATACCCATTCAGATGCCTTTTAAATGTTATAATTATACTAGCCTCCACCACTTCTTCTGGTAGCTCATTCCATATACGCACCACACTCTACGTGACTGAAGGGTCTGTTTCCACACTGTAGGGATTCTATTAAAAAAAAAGTTTTCCCCTTAGGTCCCTTTTAAATCTTTCCCTCCTTACCTCTAGTTTTGGCCTCCCCCATCCCGAGGAAAAGACCTTGTCTATTCACCCTACCCATGCCCCTCATGATTTTATAAACCTCTATAAGGTCACCCCTCAGCCTTCGATGCTCCAGGGAAAATAGCCCCAGCCTATTCAGGCTCTCCCTATAGCTCAAATCCTCCAACCCTGGCAACATCCTTAAATCTTTTCTTAACCCCTTCAAATTTCACAACATCCTTCCTATAGCAGGGAGACCAGAACTGCATGCAGTATTCCAATAGTGGCCTAACAAATGTCCTGACCGCTGCATGTGATCTCCCAACTCCTATACTCAATGCAGTGACCAATAAAGGCAAGCATACCAAACACCACCTTCACTATCCTATCCACCTATGACTCCACTATGAAGGAAAACTACGAACCTGCACTCCAAGGTCTCTTTGTTCAGCAACGCTCCAGAGGACCTTACCATTAAGTGTATAAGTCCTGCCCTGATTTGTCTTTTCAAAATGTGAGGTGCTGCATTTATGTAAATTAATCTCCATCTGCCACTCTTTGGCCCATTGGCCCATCTGATCAGGGTCCCGTTGTACTCTGAGGTAACCTTTGTCACTGTCCGTTACACTTCCAATTTTGGTGTCATCTGCGAACTTACTAAACATACCTCCTATGTTCACCTCCAAATCATTTATCTAAATGACAAAAAGCTGTGATCCAGCACCGATCCATGCGGCAGAATGCTCACAGGTCTCCAGTCTGAAAAGCAACCCTCTACCATCACCGTCTTCTATCTTTGATCTAGTTCTGTATCCAAATAGTTAGTTCTCCCTCTATTCGGTATGATCTAACCTTGCTAACCAGTCTATCTTGAGGAACCTTGCCGAACACCTTACTGCAGTTCATAGAGATCACACCCACTGCTCTGCCTTCATTAATCCTCTTCAGCACTTCTTTAAAAAACTCAATCAGGTTAGTGAGATATGACTTCCCACGCACAATGCCATGTTGACTATCCCGATTCAATCTTTGCCTTTCCAAACACATGTAAATCCTGTCCCTCCGGATTCCCTCCAGCAACCTGCTCATCACTGATTGTCAGGCTCACCAGTCTATAGTTCCCTGGCTTTTCCTTACCACCTTTCTTAAATAGTGGCACCACGTTAGCCACCTCCAGTCTTCTGGCACCTCACCTGTGGCTATTGATGATATAAATATCTCAGCAAAGGGCCCAGCAAGCACTTCCTTAGCTTTCCACAGAGTTATAGGGTACACCTGATTAGGGCCTGAGCATTTATCCACCTGCATGTATTTTAAGACGTCCGGCACCACCTCCCCTGTAATATGGACACTGTTCAAGCTGTCGCTATCTATTTTCCCACATTCTCTATCTTCCATATCCTTCTCCACAGTAAACACTGATGCAAAATACTCGTTTAGTTTCTCCCCCATCTTTTGTGGTTCCACACATAGGCAGCCTTGCTGATCTTTAAGGAGCCTATTCTCTCCCTAGTTACCCTTTTGTCCTTAATGTATTTTGTAGAATCCCTTTGGATTCTCCTTTGCCCTCCTGATTTCACTCAGTAGTATACTCCTACTGCCTTTATACTCTTCTAAGGATTCACTCGATCCCTGCTGCCTATACCTGACATAAGCTTCCATCTTTTTCTTAACCAAAACCTCAATTTCTGTAGTTATTCAGCATTCCCTACCAGCCTTGGCCTTCACCCTAACAGGAACATACTGTCTCTGGGCTCTGTTTATTTCATTTTTGAAGGCTTTCCA